ACAATAACTCTCTTTGGAAAGCAGGTTGGGGCAGCTACTGTACTTAGTTTGGATTGTATATTGTTCTATGTGGTTTAATTTTGGTTTTTATTGTTTTTTTAAACCATGGAAGTATAGCAAAAAAAAAAAACCTGTATACATTTTTAGAATGGTTTTTATGAAGTCATATAGTTATCCTATAGAATAAAATTATTCTCGTTTGAAAATCAAAATTGTGCCAGCTATTTCCTAAGGGAATCATTCTTAGGAAATAGCAAGGCTATTGAAGGATGGGCATCTCATACGAAATTAACCATAATTAAATAAAAATGGCAGATAGGTACAAAATAAACACCACTGAGTTGGAAGAGAGATTAGAATTCTAAGTTATATCTTGTACTCTCAGTCATTGAATTTAAAGTGTGTGAACAAATAAGCTAGCAAAAAAAATGTTTGAAACACTCACTTCAACTTAGAGGAGGAGGGATAGGTCTAAATGGCACCAGAGTTTCTCATGTTTAGCTCAGAACCCAAGTAGAACTTTGGAAGGACTGAGAGAGAAAAGTGCAGGGGCTAAGGGCAACCTGAGTGTTCCTGTGCTCAAAGGTTTTCACCGGAGGGAGAAGCCAGAAGTTCAAAGTATTGCGAGAATGGCATTTCTTGTGGTAGCTCTGGCCTCCTAGGAATTAGGACGCGCCATAAATCTCAGGAGAGGGACTGTTTGTGCAAAATTCCCAGCCCACATTTGCAGGCTGCAAAGGTTCAGATGCATTTTGTTGTGTGTCAGAAAACCAAGCAGACTTTCGGGGCACACCACTCAACCAGGCTCAAACTCCACATCTGCGTGGTGTGTCCATCATTCGGGCTACCCAAAATGCTACCTAAACCAGTTTTTGACTATTTTTAACAGACTCGTCTGCATTGTCAAAAACTGCCCATATTTTGGCAGATAAGCCAGTCAACTCTGGACAGAGTGTTGGTCTTAGATTTCTTTTTGCAAAGTGTCTAAGATTTATGGTGGGAATTACTCATGACAGCTGCATTCTTTCCGCTGGGCTTAGACCACCATTTGGTCTAATAACTCCTAATTGTGTGTCTATCCCAGTCTAAGCTTCTTCAGGGAAAAAAAAAAAAAAAAAACGTGGGGGAGGGGGTGGGGAGACTTTTAAAAATCCCCTACAGCAATACCCAGTGATTTCTGCCAACAGTAAACACTATTTTGAAATATAAGAAGGTTAGCTGATGATGAACAAATAAACAATATTTCAGTGAATGTGGATTTCTTCAGAGAATTTTTCATACTACCATTAATGCCAGTCTGATTTTTTTAAAAAAAGTAAAATGACTTAGTTTTATCGTGTTCCCAAAGTATTTTTAGCATAACAGGCAAAAATCCTGTTAGCATTTACAGTCATGTTATTTTCTTGAAAGAGGTACCTCTCAAAGCGATTTTTCACCAACCTTCTCCAAAGCACAAAAGAGGTACCTTGAAGACATTGGTCATTTAAAAATCATACGAAGTCTAATTATATTTCCAAAATAAGTAGTTTGCAATCCAGCAAGAATAATGTGGTCATGAAAAGGATGTCCAAATCCACCAATTTACATTGGTTTGGTTTGGCATAACTTTCAAAGTTCTTGGAGTAAAAGGAAGATGGCACGTGAATAATTGTAATTTGGGTAATAGTCCTAGAACTTTGGGTCTGCTGTTCTGTGAGCCATTCAGGGGAAAGCAAATCCAAGATTGTACCTACATAATTTATAACTGTTAAAATTCACTGATATGTTCCAGATTATTTTGCAAAATGTAATACCCTCCCTTTTCATATGAAACTTTGTCATTTTCACTCTATTTATGTAATTTAAAAAGTATGATAGCCGGAAAGCATGAGCCATTCAAAGCAGGAGCCGCTAATGTCAGAGATCATTATCACTCACAAGATATATTGTGTTGGTATCTTTGAATTTAAAGGGCTTGAAAGTTGTGTCAAGATAGATTCATATTGCATCTAATATGTTTTGCTTTACTCCCTTTTACTTTCTGGTTTCTATCTCCAGTCACAAAGCAGTTTCTCTGCTGTGACTCAGGTCTACAACCACAGTGGTAGCACAGGTCTGATTTACCCTTCCTGTCTCCACCAGCTGTGCTCCCTCCTTTTATGCCAAAAGAAAGTTGTGTTATTACTTTAGGATGAGGCTGCTTTCTTTAAACAGTATACTGCTTTCCAGTTGTTTATATGTAATATATGTCCAATCCATATGACTTTTTCAAATGGTTTTGATTACTAGACTTAAAAATTTTTTTAAAGAAATGTATGAAAGACGAAGGAAAGCACTTCTTATATTGTAACTCTCTAAAAGAAAAAAACGTTTTGGATATAGGGAATTTCATCAGTTAAAAACCAGTTTACGACTCTATGCATTTCAATAGCATGTAGAATAATATTTGAAAAGGAAGAGTGCTAACTTCACAATAGACATTCATTTGATTTTACACCTTGTATAAATATGCATATTAAAGCAATGATTAAGTAAGACCCTTATTTGCAATTAAATTTTGAAATTCAAATAATTTCATTTGTAATAGACCTCTGATAAGGGTCTAGCTAATTAGCAAAACAACATTTTTTAAAAACACACAATGTTCTCATTTTTGTTGTAATAGATATTCACATTTTATCTTTAATCATTGTAAAACACACTAATTTGATTTTTAAAAAACATTAGAATTTCTCATTTAGAGAACATAGACCCACATATTCCATTGATGTTTCTATTTTCTACAATAATTCTTTTTCTCTAAATTCCTTAAAATCAATTGATAATCCGTGGGAAAAAATCAGGGCCACGTTCACTTGATCAAACTTTGTTTGTTTGTTTGTTTGTGGTGGCAAACATCAAGGTGACTTTATTCACCACTCATGGTTCTGATGCCATTTGTCTACTTCCAAATCCAAAACTCTCCCCGAAACCCCCAAGCATGCCATTATGAACATTTTTCTATAAACATTTCAGGGCCTCTGAGGGTGATTTTAGAGAATAATTTTAAGATAATTTCCTCAGTGGTTATATGTTCAAAAAAATTAAGAGGGAAAACTTTGTCAGGACACAGTTTAATGTAAAATTTTTGGTAGTTTTAAATCTATCATGTTATTTAAAATTTCATAGGTTAAAACTAAGTACCAAATAGCATCTAATGACAAAGGGAAAAAATGATTAATAAGATTTTGTAAATTAATTTTTTAACATTCTGGGTGTAAGTGCATGAACTTAAGACCAAAAGAGACCAATACTAAAGGTAGGAATTAAATATTAGAAAAATTTTAATTAGGACTATTATCACATTTAAGCTGTCAAGCAGAAATTGTACTTTAAAACAAACAAACCAGAGTAGACTTAGATTAATGGAGGTAATTTGTGCATCACGAAGAAAAAATATATTGGATTTTTACAAATATATATGTCTTAGAAAGTTTCACCACTGGCTAACTGGTGTCCAGCTTCATCCAATTCCTCACAATTTATAGTTCTCAGGGAGAGACAGAGTCTCAATCATTTCTTAGATTATTCTAGAACTATAAAGTCACATCAATTAATACATTTGTTAATAGCTATTCCATTTTATTGCCATTATCTCAAGTAATCATATAGTTTATTACATGGAAGAGTAAAAACTATAGTGAATGACTATCCTAAATTATGCCATTACTACCAGTGTTCTAAGCTATGTTATTCTACCCTAACCTCCCAATGAAATATTTTGCACAATGGCAGAAGTGTTCCTAATATAAAGTGTGTAAAAATGTAGAGATAGTAAAGCAATAAATGAGCTCATTTTATGCCAGTAAAGAGCTTTGGAAAGCCTTTATTCTGTTATACTATGGCAATAATTTCTACCAATATATTTAATACTATTGTGAATTACAATGATTATCCATGATGCTATACCACCTCCCTAGAGAAACTGCTGAGATAAGACCTCTGCGTCTGCTGTCAGTTTCACCTAGGCCTCTCTGAGTGCCCAGACACATCAAAGAATATACACTCTTGACATTAAAATTATGTTTTCGGCATTTTTAGATACTACTATAGTGTTTGACTAAGTGTTTCCCTTTTCGTTTTCCTGTTTCTTCGTTGTCCTCATAACGTGGTCATGAAATTAACTAGATTCTATAAATAGATGTGTGGAAAACAAGTGAATGATTATTGAAATTCAATGCCAGGATAAGTTATTTTGAATTACAGATGAACAGTTCTAAAATAATCTGAAATTCATTTTACCATTTTGCTAAAGATTTTTTTATTTTTCTCTCCATAATGGAGCACCCATTACCTATAATACACTGGAAGTTATCAAACTAGCATTATATCTAGAATAGAATTTTTACTCTTTAGTTTCAAACAATCAGACCAAAACATGTTGTTCTGTAGCAATCACAGGAAAACAAGAATAGAATAGAATAGAATAGAATAGAATAGAATAGAATAGAATAGAATAGAATAGAATAGAACAGAATAGAACAGAACAGAACAGAAATGGAGGGAAGATAAAGAGCTGAGGGGAGGAGAGGAAGGAAAGAAGAGAGACAGAAAGGCAGGAAGACAGTAAGTCAGGCCAGTAGCAAATGTCTCACAAATGTCTTGAGTTATTTTACCTTGTAGAAAAAAGGCAATAATACACAAATGTCTAGAGGTTTCTCCCCTACCCAGTTTGATTCCTATATTTTCCTTGGAAATGAACCTTAAATATATGATGTAATCCTATGCTACCTACTGCTCTTTTGTGCCTCAATTAGACTCAAATTTACTGATGATAATTTTAATTATGACTGAACACCATAATTACTTTATTGAGATTAAAATTTTGAAGAGTGCATAATTTAGAACATACAAATTAGTTTTCTCTGAGAAGAAGAGATATTTGGTGTGATTTACTCCTTCTTTTCATAGTTTTTTTTTTTTTTTTTTAGCCATCTCAGTTCCTATATGTGCTAATATAAAATATGCCCTTTTGTCTTCAGGTCTAGATGTTGATGGAATATATCGAGTTAGTGGCAATCTGGCAACAATACAGAAGTTAAGATTTATTGTCAACCAAGGTAAGTGATTTCCACTTCAGAGATTTTTTCAAACAGTTTCATATGGAACAATATTTCAGACACTGTGCTGTATGTACTGTGAATAAATAATAATAAAACTAACAGGAGAATGAGAAAGTGGAGGAAATTTAAAAATTATCAGAAAAGTAAAAGATAACCAACTAGTTTATCTAGAAATGAATAGAATATGTAGAGAAACAAATTAATAGTTTATGTGAAATAAATAATGAATGGAACATGTCAAAATAAAAATGGGGAAAAAATAGAAAAAGAGTAAAAGAAAAATGACCCATATTCAAAAAATGTTATTGACTTGCAATGGACACTTACTATATGTTGATGAATGAACCAATGAATGATGGAAAATGTAAAAGTCAAAATAACAGATAATAGAAAAAATATATAGTAGGTAAGAAAAAAATTAGGAAATGCATATGCTATCAAAGAGTTGTAAATTAAAACAATGAGATATCACTGCACATCTGTTAGAATGGCTGAAATACTGACAACACCAAATGCTGCCTAAGATGTGGAGCAACAGGAACTCTCATTCATTGCTGGTGGAAATGAAAAATGATTCAATCACTTTGGAAGAAAATTTGGCAGTTTCTTATGAAAATAAATGTATTTTTATCGTATGATCCAGTACTTCTTGGTACTTACCCAAATGAGTTAAAAACTCATGAACACAAAAAAACCTACATACAAATATTTACAGCAGCTTTTTTCATAATTGGCAAAACTAGAATGCAACTAAGATGTCCTTCAGTAGGTGCAGGGACAAACCAACCAGAATACATCCGTACAATGGAATATTATTCAGGGATGAAAAGAAATGACCTTTCAAGCCATGAAAAGACTTAGAGTAATCTGAATGCATATGCTGAGTAAAAGAAGCCAGTGTGAAAACACATGATTCCAACAATATAACATTCTGGGTAAAGGAAAACTACAGAGAGTAAAAGATGAGTGGAAACAGTGAGACGGGTTTGGGGGAAAGAGGGAGAGATGAATAGGTGAGCACAGGAGATTTTGAGGGCAAACAATTCTGTATGATGCCATAATTACGCATACATGTCATTACACATTTGTCAAAACCCATAAAATGCAACACAAAGAGTGAATCCTTATGTAAATTATAATATTTACTTAATAATAATGTATTGATATTGGCTTATCAATTATAACAATCTACCCCATTAATGCAAGATGCTATTAATAGGGAAAACTTTTGGAAGGGTGAGGAGATATAAGTTAACTCTCTGTACTTTCTGCTCAATTATTCTGTAACCTTAAAACTGCTCTAAAAATGTATATTAATTCAAAAAATAAAAATTAAAAATTAGAAAATGAAAAACAAGATCGAAACATCTTAAATTGGTGTTATTGACAGCTCATAGGTTTTAAAATCATACAGATGAGGTAGAACTTAGACTCTCTCCTTGTATCCTTGGTATCTTAACCTCCCTATGCCTCTGTTCCCTATCAGGAAAAACAGTGGGGGGATGCCTTGGGAACATTTGGGAAAATTAAATTGAATAACATCTACAACACTTAGGAATGTGACAGACTCATGTTAGTTCTCCTTTTACTTAAAAACAATCAAGAGTGTCTTCAGAAGAACTCCAAATCCTAAATCCTTGTACTCTAGCTTCCCACTTAGCTTCTATAATAGCTGGCTTCAGGTTCTCTGAATGTTTTTCATAATACATTTAATATATAAACTGTACTCCCACATTTCCATACTGTTGTGTTTTTTAATGTCTTTGCATATGCTCTTCCCTTTACTTTCAATATCCTCCTATCTTTTCTTTCTCATCCCACATACACAAGCTTCCAGCCTGGTAGATTTCTTCTTTTTCTTCAAGGCCCAGATTATAGTAATTTCATTCAAGAAGCCTCCAGTTAGATTTCTTCTCTGCTCCCCTTACACTGAATAGCTGAATTTACAGTAGTACATTCACATCTAACTTTTAAAATTCCATCTATTATAAGACCCATAGATTTAATGCCAACTTTTGGAAAGGATATAATCAAATGTACTCAGTGATTGTATTTCAGAAACATTAAAATTTGTAAGTCTTGGAATCAAAAAATAGGATACTGGCTGAAATGTCTGTCTCTTTCACAAATCTCTAAAAAGGTAGAACTTGAATCATCCTTGTATCTTTTCCCATTAACCAGTTCTAGCCTTGGTGTTTCCATACAAGGAGCTCCTCATACAGAGAGTTTTTAATTAATATTTGTTGAACAATGTATGTGAGTGTTGCAGGTAGGAGAAGTATTAAAACTGGAGAGCATTCAATTCTCCAGCAATTCAACTTGGGTTGAACCAGTTTTTTAAATGTTGATTGCAATACTTTTGGCCACTTGCCACATGACTCTTGCTTCTAAGAATCTCTATAACTGAGAATCTCCACAGCTCTGCTTGTTCACTAATGCAATTCTTTGTCTTTCACAATTACTCTCTTTCCTGGGCAAAACACAGAACTAAACTTTACCTCATTCATTTATATTATTTCCATTTAACTGAATCAGAGTGCCCCCTCTGTGGGTAAAATTTGGATAAAATAGCCCTAGCCTCATATTCGTTCTAGCTTATAATCAGCTAAAATCATTTTTATAATACAGTTTATGCTGAAACGATGTCCTGATTGGGATTCTAGACAGCTGGGCAACACATTTCTTCTACAAAGAAGAAATCTCAAAACAGAAGCCATGCTAGAAACAAACACTAGTTGCATTTCCTGCCTTTAAAAAAAATTATGCTCAGTAGTTTGAAAAGGCAAAGAAAAAAATCTGCAATGAAAATATGAAATCTGTCCATCTCATCTTTTGCAATCCAAACTTCAGTGTACTCTGAGGCTATGTAACCGCTCATGTTTCCATGAGAATTGACAATGTAAAGCTGGACAGAGGCCTGCGTTGGTATCTGGTAGCACAGAATTGTCAGTAAACTGTCTCCCTGGTTTATAGCACTGTCAGAATGCAACATACTCAACACAAATTATGCTTCATTAGGACCTTTGATACTGGTAACTTTGTCCAAGTTGTGTTATGGAGTTTTTTGAATTAGATGATAAGTGAAATGGATATACCAACCCCTTTCAAAATTTGCTAATCAGATTATCCTTTGAATGTGTTTTCTGGACTGGCCCCACAACCTTGTTGCTAATGCCATACCTTCCCCTCCATCTGGACCAGGACTCTAATAGTAGAGCTGACTTGAAAATAATGAGTGCTGGGTGCAAAGAGATTGTAAGTGTACATGTGGCTCTTTGTGGCCCTCTCTCTGTGTGTCTCTGTGTGTCTAATAGAATAAAATGGCAATGCAGGGAAAATTCCATGAAAAGCATAAAGTGCTATGTAAAGGCAGTGCATCATTTTTGCAGTCTAAGATGAAACATAAATGATTTTTGGCATACCTGCCTTGTATTAACATATTTTATTCCCCTTTATTCACCTTGCACATGTTTCTTTTCTAGAAGGTTCTAAATATACATTTTTAAACAAGTAAGCCCTGCCCACTGTTAGACTAGACAAATAAAAACTGATTTTTGAGATTTTCAAGACAGATGAATTGCAATTTATGTATTTCACTAATTTTCTTGAATTCTACAATCATCAGCAATTCTAAATACACCAGTTGAATAACTCAATTTGTTTTGGTTTTCTGTTTGACTTACTAAATCAGGGGGAATTAGATACCCTTATTATACTTCCAGTTCAGATGACATGTAAGTTATATTCAAAGTGTTCACTTTTGAAAAGCATTTCCTAATTATAACTAGTAATGATGATAATAGTAATTATTATGAAAGTAAGCAGCATTTTCATAATTTATTATTTGCCAGGCACCGTCCTAAGCACTTTATTTACATAATTTAATTTAACCTTTCTTCCATCCCATAGAGTAGGTAGTATTATTATTCCCGTTTTACAGCTGTAAAAACTGAAGTTCAGATATTGAATAATGTCCTAAGGTCATATAACATATAAGTGAAGGAGCTAAGACTAGATCCCAGATCTGTCTGACTCAGAGCCTATGATGCAAACCACCGCCATCATTCTGCATTTCCAATTCATCAGCTGTTGATTATCTCTTTATAAAAGCAGAGATTAGTCTTTTCGTGCTACGCATGCTCATTCATGACTTTCCTTTACACCCCGCCTCTTGTGTTGGTTAGTGACGCGTACTACCGTTGGAGTTTTGCTAAAATTGTTCAAGAGCTGTTTGGAGAAACGCCAAACATCACAGTTATGAAGAAGCCTGGCATTGCCATTCCCTGTATGGCTTTATGTATCTATGTTTGGCCCAAGAAACTACTTTAACACAGTATTCTGTTGCAGCCTTTGGGAAAGGGATCGAGGATTCTCGATTTACTGGGCTGTTGGTGTGCTTGTGAGCAGTGCTCTGCCCTGTTTGTTGAATTTGGTGACAGCTTTCAGTGACATTTTGCTGATACAGCTCTTCTGCTTTGTGAAGGCATCCCCAAAGAAAACTGGTCCATGACCTTAGATGTCAACCTGTCATCAGCCTGTGACATTGCGTTGATTCTTCAGAATGATCTGTGACCTCCTTACAGTTTTCTTGCATGGGGGGTACTTTGCAAAGGACAGACTTCAGCATGGAGGATGCTGCATGTCTTGAGAACTTTTGACAGAAAGTCTTGGAAATTCCCCCAGGCTAAATTCCCCCTCCTTCCCACATTGACACTTGGGTTTGAGCTGCCCATCTATGCCTTAGGCTTATTGCCCAAACTACAAATTCAGTTCAGACTCACTTGGTATTACTTAGACATCCTCTTTCACCCTTTGAAAAAGGGACAAGAGAGATTGCCTTTCTTTTTGGAAAAATCTTGCTATGAACCTTCCCGAGCCCTTGAGCCAATGGGAGAGCTATGAAGCATTGCTGGAAGAACTGACTGGGAATTTTTCAGATGGGTGTCTCTTAGTACACAGTTACAAATATTCTCTCTGTTTTCCTGAACTGAAGAAAA